CCATCATGGTTATCTGGATCATGAAGATCTTTTTTGTACCGTTCTGTTTATTCTTGCCACCTCTTCTTAATATCTTCTGCTTCTGTTAGGTCCATACTGTTTCTGTCCTTTATTGTGCCCATCTTGACATGAAATATTCCATTGATATCTCTAATTTTCTTGAAGAGATCTCTATTCTTCCCCATTCTATTGTTTTCCTCTATTTCTTTGCACTGATCACTGAGGAAGGCTTTCTTATCTTTCCTTGCTCTTCTTTGGAATTTCGCATTCAGATGGGTGTCTTTCCTTTTCTCCTTTACCTTTCACTTCTCTTCTTTTCTCAGCTATTTGTAAGGCCTCCTCAGACAGCCATTTTGCCTTTTGGCATTTCTTTCTTGGAGAAGGTGTAGATCACTGCCTCCTGTACAATGTCACAAACCTTTGTTCATAGTTCTTCAAGCACTGTGTCAGATCTAATCCCTTGAATCTGTTTTTCCTTCCACTGTATAATCTTAAGTATTTGATTTAGGTCCTACCTGAATGATCTAGTCTTTTTCCCTACTTTCCTCAATTTAAGTCTGAATTTTGCTATGAGTTCATGATCTGAGCCGCAGTCAGCTCCCAGTCTTATTTTTTCTAACTGTATAGAACTTCTCTATCTTCAGAAGCAAAGAATATAATAAATTTGATTTAATATTGGTATTGACCATCTGGTGATGTCCACACATAGAGTCATCTGCTGTGTTGTTGGAAGAGGGTGTTTGCTATGACCAGTGCATTCTCTTGGCAAAACTCTGTTAGCCATTGCCCTACTTCATTTTGCACTCCAACGTCAAACTTGCCTATTACTCCAAGTATCTCTTCACTTCCTACATTTGCATTCTAGTTCCCTATGATGAAAAGGACATCTTTTTTTGGTGTTAGTTCTAGAAGGTCTTGTAGACCTTTCAACTTGTAGACCATTCAACTTCAGCTTTTTTGGCATTAGTGGTTGGGGCATAGACTTGGATTACTGTGATATTGAATGGTTTTCCCTGGAAATGAACAGAGATCATTCTGTTATTTTTGGATTGCATCCAAGTACTGCATTTCAGACTGTTTTGTTGACTATGAGGGCTACTCCATTTTTTCTAAGGGATTCTTGCCCACAGTAGTAGATACAATGGTCATCTGAATTAAATTCACCCATTCCAGTCCATTTTAGTTCACTGATTCCTAAAATGTCGATGTTCACTCTTGCCATCTCGTTTGACCACTTCCAGTTTGCCTTGATTCATGGACCTCTAACATTCCAGATTCCTATGCAATATTGTTATTTGCAGCATTGGACTTTACTTCCATCACCAGTCACATCCATAACTGGGTGCTGTTTTGCTTTGACTCTGTCTCTTCATTCTATCTGGAGTTATTTCTCCACTGATCTCCAGTAGCATACTGGGCACCTACCAACTTGGGGAGTTCATCTTTTAGTGTCCTATCTTTTTGCCTTTTCATGTTGTTCATGGGGTTCTCAAGGCAAGAATACTGAAGTGGTTTGCCGTTCCCTTCTCCAGGGGACCATGTTTTGTCAGAACTCTCCACCATGACCCATCTGTCATGACCCACCAATAAAAGGATACCCCATGTCAAAGGGCAAAGGAGAAGCCCTAACAAGATGTAGGAGGGCACAATCACACTTAAAATCAAACCCCAACCTAGCAGAGATGCTCGGAGGGCTCAAACAAAACCTTGTGCACACCAGAACCCAGAGACCCCACAGAGCCTGAGTCACACCTGCCTTTGAGTGCCTCTTGTGGAGGCAATGGTCAGCAGTGGCCTGCCCCAGGGACAGGGGCTCTGGCTGCAGCAGACCTGGGTCATGCAGCATATGGCATAAGCCTTCGTGGAGGAGGTTACCATTAGCCACACCATAGAGCCTCTGAGCAGATGACACACAAACTGCAGAACTATTATACCAAAGAAACTCTTGCATTGTTAAGAAAATTCTAGAACCCACAACAGACTTCCCAATCTGGGGATCTGGCAAAGGAACTGAGCACTCCCAGGGAATTTGACTTTGGAGACCATGGAATTTGATTACCGAACTTCCACAGGACTGGGGAACAGACTCTTGGAGGACACAAACAAAATCTTGTGCACACCAGAAGCCAGGAGAAGAAGCAGTGTCCCCACAAGAGACTGAGCCAGACTTGCCTGTGAGTGTCCAGGAATTTCCAGCGGAGGCGTGGGTTGTTAGTGGCCTGTATTGGGTCAGGGGCACTGAATACAACAGTATGTGCACTAGTCATTGTGAAGGAGGTCACCATTACCTTCATCTCCCCTACCATAGTTTGGCCTCGGGCCAAAAAACAGGGAGGGGATGCAGCCCTGCCCATCAGCATAAAATTGATTTGAAGATTTACTGAGCATGGTCCTGCCCATCAGAATAAGACCCAGTTTCCCCCACAGTGAGTCTCTCCCATCAGGAAGCTTCCATAAGCCTCGTATCCTTAGCCATCAGAGGGCAGACAGAATGAAAACCACTATCACAGAAAACTAACCAAACCGATCACATAGATCACAGCCTTGTCTAACTCAATGAAACCATGAGCCAAGCTGTGTAGGGCCACCCAGAAATGGTTCTAACTAGTAACAATCTACAAGAAAAGGAGATTAAGCCTGTGGTACCAAGAAATCATAAGTAGTCTACTTGTTTCCTCATTTTTATTCTAGGTCCTGTTCTTGGTACTGACCTTAGCATCAGGTGAAAGCACTGTTCACCACTGTACTACTTTCCGTCATGAATGTTACCTTCTCCTAATCTGTGTGATGGCATTTCACGGCATTAAAACTGCCTACTGATTTGATAATTCCTTCTAGAGTTCTCTTCTAGTCACAACACCTTAGCTTTCACATGCTGTCACAAAATACCCCTTGCACTTCCAGTTTTCATGAGGGTTATATATATAATACTAGGCTTCCCTAGTGGCTCAGATGGTACAGCATCTGCCTGCAATGCAGAAGACATAGAAGACTAGGGTTCAATCCCTGGGTCAGGAAGATCCCCTTGAGAAGGGAATGGCTACCCACTCCAGTATTCTTGCCTGGGAAATTCCATGGACAGAGGAGCCAGGTGGGCTGCACTCTAGGGGATCACAAAGAGTTGGATATGACTGAGTGGATAACATTTCTGACTTCCTATATAAACCAACCACTTTTCAGTATCTCTTCATGGTCCCTCTCTCTCTGGGGCTTAGACCTATCTGAATGATGGATCTAGCCAGAGGACAAATAATCACTACATCATTCTGTCCTCCAAAATTTTTGCCGTTGTTCTCCCAGGAGCCTTTCTACTAAAACTTACTTCTCTAAGTCCCAAACCAGTCTAGTTGGTACAAAGCTTGCATATCACTTCAAAGTTTTTCTTGCCACAATAAATGTCATGAAACATATTTTCTCCGAACAGTGACCTTCAAAAGGAATGAAACTCATAGATCCATTATGTGTCATTCTCAACAATGAGACAGTGGCATTTGCCTAACAACATAAATGTTGATGACAGATGTATTCTGTCATCACAAGCACAAATATACACTAAGTTTATGTACTGATTCCAAATGACAATGACACAGCTGTGAGTAGGAGACAAAAAAAATCAAAAATAACCATTGGAGAAGGTAACCATGAAGGCTACTCCTATAAAAAAATATGACTGACAAATATATTTAGTAAGTTTAGTTGTTATTCATGTTTGTATATTTGGCATGCTTTCAAAACTACTTAATGCTTTACTTCAGTATATGATGCATAACTTTTAAAAACAACACTACCATTATGCTAATTTCTCCAATTTAATTTTATCTTATCTTGACAAAAGCTTGGGGGAATTTTCTGAAATTATCACAGGTCTAACTATATACCATGACCATTGCTTCTTTCTAAAATATAGATGAGACATTTTTGCTGTTTGAGGTCCTTTGCAGTTTCATACAAATTTTAGGACTTTTTTACTATTTTTGTGGAAAATGTCTTTGGAATTTTGACAAGGATTGCTAAGAGAGGAGACCCTAAGCGTTCTCACCACAAGAAAACAAAAACTGTAATTATGTGTGATAGTGGATATGTTAAGTAATTTGACTGTGGTAATCATCTCACTATGTATACATATATTAAATTATCACTTTATACACCTTAAAAAATCACATTGTGCAGCCTGAATATACACAATTTTACTTGTCAGTCATACCTCAATAAAGCTTGGAGAAAAAAAAAATAGGTGAGATTCTATTGCCCACCTCTCCTAATGTCAAAATATTTGGGGGGAAAATAATTAAATTAAATCCCTGATTTAAAAATATCTGACTAGTTGCAATGGTGGCCAGGTGTGGGGTATTTTTTGAAAAAAATCTGCCTGGTTTTGATCCCATGAGGATTTTGTGATTGGTTGAATCATAAATAAGATAGGCTTAAATAAAATAGAATGTCAGAATGTCTGGTACCCTTGCCAGTATGGTACACAGCTAAGAAGATCAAAATTGTAAAGATACAGATGGATGCCCTAACAAATTTTTTTCAGTCAACATTATTTTGGCTGGGAAGAGATACATGATCATGTGGAAACAAGCTGATGCTAATAACAGACCAATTGCCAGAAAGTGACGATCAAAAGAGCTGTTTAAGAAGGAATCCGGATCTATAAAACTAATAGAGTCATTATAAGAAAGAAACATCAGGTGTAGTCGGTGTGTGTGTGTGCTCAGTCACTCAGACATGTCTGACTCTCTGCAATCCCATGGACTGTAACCTGCCAGGCTCCTCTTTCCATGGGATTCTCCAGGCAAGAATACTGGAGTGGGTTACCATTCCAGGGGATATTCCCGACCCAGGGGATCTTCCCAACCTAGGGATTGAATCTGTGTCTCCGATGGGTCCTGAATTGATGGGTGTATTCTTTATCACTGAGCCAACTGGGAAGTCCCAGTCACTAGGATAAATCAAAGTAATTTTTATGGGTAATAAATATCTCTCAGGTGGACAACCTTGGAACATTAGTTCCTCCATTATGTCTGGAAGACTTTGTGCCTTTCAGTCTATTGCTAAACTCATTTGGAAGAATGTGATTTTGAGGATCCTGAGGAAGAGATGTTAAAGCGACAAGTGTTTCTATGGTGAGTGATTTATTAAATTCTCAGAAAGTGAAGTATAAATAAAAAGTTGAAAAGAAGATAACCCACTTTGAAATTAGAATATTAAACATGTCAATGACACAAAAATGCACATGTCCATAGACATTTGTATATCGGTCCAAATATACATGTCTCTACTAATATATTTATTATAGCACAATACATAAGAATGAAACTACCAGGAAAGAAAAACTCCTTTATAGGATTTCCTCTTCTGGCAAAGATAGGCCAATTTGTCTAGACTGACCCCTAAACCAAGAATAAAAAGACGTAGATGAAATATAAAACCATCTGTCTGAAACATCAGACAGCTAGCTTGGCAGCCAGCAATAGCTGCTTGATGAAGATAAAAGGGAAACTCACTGACATGAGAACAACATTCTGCACTATTTTTATCCTTATTTTGAAAGCAGAAATTAAAAAACCAAAAAGGAAATATCAGCAGTATCATAGATTGGGGGGAAATACTATTGACAGTCAGGTCCTACTAAGACTCCAGCTGTAAGTTGGAACTCATAAAGGACAGTAGTATAATGTATTCATAAATCAAGAATACATCAAGCTTTACAAACAGTGAACATCAAGATTGAGTCAATTCACTCCTTCTTCATCAAAACCTAAAGGAGGAAATGATTTACAGAAGCAGCACCATCCAAAGCCTTTATAGCTATTATAAATTTGGCTGGCATTCAAAAAAAATTACTGAAACACCAAGTTATTGGATGAAGAAGAAGAAAATGATAATAGAAACAGTGCGAGGATTATTCAGTTATTGAAGTTATTAGCTATTAGATTTTTAGAGACTTTTTAAGCAGCTACAATAGATACATTTAAGAAGGTAAATAAGAACAAAGAATTTTTATCAAAGAATTATAATTTTTAAAATAATCAAGTGAAAACTCTTAAACACAAAACTACTAAAGATAAGAACTCAGCAGATGAATCTCCCAGCAGATTAAACACAGACATTTGGGAAACCAGTGGTGATTTGGAAGACAGATCATTTTTATTGAGATATAACTGACATACAGCATTGTATTAAGTTTAAGGCCTATAACATAGTGCTTTGGTTTGTATACATCATGAAATGATGACCGCAATAATTCATCATCTCTTGTTGATACAAAGCAGAGGAAAAATAAACCAATTTTCCTTTCAATGAGAACTCAGGATTTACTCTCTTAATAACTTTCATACATAACATAGAGCAGTGTTAATTACATTAACTGTGTTGTATGTTACATCTCTAGTACTAATTTATCTTATAACTAGAAGATTGTACCTTTAACCACTTTCAGTCAGCTCCTCCTCCACCACCCCTCCATGTTTGGTAACACAACTGTGACCTCTTTTACCATTAGCTTGTTTGTTTTTGAAGTAGAACTGACCTGTAACACTGTGTTAATTCTCGGTACACAACACAGTGATTTGATACTTCTGTAATTACAAAACGATCACTGTTAAGTCTAGTTACCAACTGTCACCATGCAAAGATAGTACATCATAAATGACTATTTCCCAACACTGTACATTTAATTCTCATGACTTTTTTATTTTGTAACTGGGAGCTTATACCTCTTAATCTCTTTCATCTATCTCTTTCATCCCCCCTCTTTCTCTCCTCAGGTGTTTATCTGCTTGTTCTCTGTATCTATGAAGAGCTCCATCAATCTCTAAACTATGACTATTGCTTAGTAATTTCAACTTTTTCATGTTTAAAGATCATCAAACAGAGGAAAGAGTCACTACACTTACAGAGGTAATTAACACTTACTGTCAGGAGAAGGCAGAACTTTTATTTCACAGAGAGCAGACAAGAATAGGCTCAGGTTATAGTGTTAGCTCAGGTGACCCACTGAGCTATCCTTGAGCCTCTGTTTTAACAGTGAATAGACAAGTACAACAGCCACAGACTGTCACAAGAACAGTGAACAGAGTCTGAGACCTCATGTAACAACAGAGATGCCAGCAAGAAATAAGGGAAATATAAAATGGGTAGTGAAAACAGACAGTGATTGTCACTTGTAACTGTAATGTTAACTGGAAGGCTATATTTGTCCCACTAACATAAGTTTCCTCAGATACAAGACTCACCAATATTCTGAAAAATCCATTCTCCAACATCAGGAACTTTCTATAAAAAGCACACGTAGTTGAGAGATACAAATGGTGACCTAGTGTGTGCTCTGATGTCATAACCAGACCATCTTCAGCAGTGGAAGACAGACAATTTTAAAAGCCCATTCTGAAACTCAAAAAAAGCACAGATACAAAAATAGAAAAAAAAATAGCTTAAAAGACAATAGGTTAAGGTTACTATGTCTAACATGCATGAAATTAACATCTAGAAAGAAGGAGAGAAAGAGAACGTACAGACCAGAAGCCATTTTAGAAGAAGAGCTAATTTCTGAGAATTTTCCAAAAGTGAAAAAGACAAAGGACCACAGATGTATGAAATACTCTGAAAACCAAACAGGATAATTTTTTAAAAAGAGTACGTAATAGTCAAACCAATGGAGGAAAAAAGACACATTTTATTCAAATGACTACTGAGAAGTCTTAAAGCTGACATCTCAGCAAAAAACTTGGAAGCCTAAAAACACTGAAATAACTGCCAACAAACTTACATAAAAGATATGATCTATATGTACATATATACTCATATCTAATAACATACACATTCATATCTATTAAATGAATTAATCGAGAATTTTAAACTCTCTCATGGACTTGCTGGTTTCCATCAAGATGGAGTAAGGCCACTAAATCTAATCTCTCCCAATGTTTACAACTAAAAGATATGGACATTATATTGGGCTGGCCAAAAATTTCATTCTGGTTTTCCCAAAAGATGTTACAGAGAAACCAGAATGACGCTTTTGGCTAACCCAATACAAAAAGCAACTACATGTGACTCTGAAAATTACACAATGGCATGAGAATTGGGAAAGTAAGTAAAACTTTAAAGAATGACTTGTATCAAGATGAATCTACAGCATATCTCTCTCTCTCCACCATCTTTGTTTCTTAGAGAGCAAAATTGCACAGCATGCAAAGATGGCAAAAGAAAAAAAAAAATCTGAAAAAATACCCTTGGACAGAAGGGGACCTCTGTAAATCAGAGTATAGGAGTAACCACCCCCCTCTGCATGTTTTTGTTTGCTTGTTTGTTTTTTAGCCTTCCTTCCTTCACCTCTGCCTAAAGCCTGCCCCATTCACAAAGCTGTCCTGCAGTGGCAAGACACAGACACCTAAACTCTCAAGAAAAAATGTCTCTCTGGCCAGAGAATCCAAGAATCTTGTGTTCCCAGGAATGTAGAGAAAATTCATCTTATTTTTTTTTTCTTTTTCTTGCCATTTTTCCCTGAGGGTAAAAGTCATAGAAAACTGCAAGAAAGTTCAAGAAACTAAAACTCTGCATAAAACTCTAGCTTTCTAGCAAGAGCACAAGGAAAATGTGTCCCTGGGAAATGGAGAGCATAGAGAAAAGTCTGGAAAGGATAGAGTTAATAAAGAGGATTGTCTACCCCTATGAACTGGCTCTAGTCTCGGGTTCATTCTCATGCCACACAGAATATATGCAAAGTAGAGACCAATGTCTTTGAGAACTGACCTATAATATAAACCAATGCCCAAGTCCCCGACCAAGCCTTGAGGAGAGTACAGACCAAACAGCATGCAAAGACTTTCAGAACTGAATTTACGTTGGGATCACTGCCCACAGAAGTCTAAAAAGAATGCATTCTGAACCTAACCAAGTCAGTTGCCTACTAGGACACAACACAAGACATCACACACACACATCATAGAGAGAATTTTAACAGAACTCAGAGTCCACAGCATAATATTTTAAGGGTTCAGGACGGGATCCTAACTTTCTAAATATAGAAAGATCCAAGAAAATATGACAGTTCTCAGAGAAAAAGGTAATCAGGAGATGCTAATTCCCACATGATCCAAATGCTGGAATTATCAGACTAGAGAGTCTACTCACAGATGTCTTGGTTTTATTTTCCAAGACTTTTAAAAAATCATTGTTTCTATGTAAAACAAGTTTAAAAACCAATGAAAAAAAATTTGCGCATAACATATAAGAGGCTGACCCTTGTTTATTTTCTCTCAGGGATGATTCCTTAATGAAGACTAACAAGTAAATCAATGATTCTCAAATTTTGGTGTGCATGCAGCATACCTGGAAACCTTGTCAAAGTGAAGATAATAATCCAGTGAGTCTGGGATGGGGCCTGAGATTCTACACTTCTCACAAGTTCCCAGGTGATGCCAGAGCCTCTGGTCCTCAGTTCATACTTGACAGCAATGTAATAAAGAACTTGGACTTGAAAAGTTAAGTAGAAAATATTGAAGGCCATGCTATTATTGATATTTCTCAAATGGCCCAAGGACTTTGCTCCTTAAAGATTTTCTTAAACTGTCAATATTTCATCATCCAACAATTACTTCTTGGAAATGCATTTGATGGAACTAATGGAAGGATTACTTTTGTGTCTTCACTAAATGACTAAGAAGTGAACATGCAAAATATTTAAGGATGGGAGGAAAAAGTCATATGTGATTGTTATCCAAGTTGTTTCCTACTTCCTTTAATGTTGTTTTAAATGTTTATCCTGACAACTAACTCCCTCAATCAAAAAAAGATATACATATATGTGTGTATACAGATTGCTGTTATTGTTCAGTCACTAAGTCATGTCCAGTCCTTTGCGACCCCATGGACTGCAGCACACCAGGCTTCCCTGTCTGTCACTATCTCTTGGAGTTTGTTCAAACTCATGTCCATTGAGTCAGTGATGCCATCCAACTATCTCATCTTCTGTCANCTAAAAGCAACAGTTCTTTGGTGCTCAGCTTTCTTTATAGTCAAACTCTCACATCCATACATGACTACTGGAAAAACCATAGCTTGTATACATACACACATTGTGTATGTGTGTGTGTGTCTAAATATATACATAGCAAACTGCCAAACAATCACTGTAATGCTTTGTATTAGAATGAGATATTCTGTGGTAAAAGATGATCATTACAAGTATGACATGTTACAGGTCACTTTCCTTTCTATATAACATCAGAATTTTGTTCTGATTTTTGTTCATTTTTCTGTTCATTTTTCTCACAGCTCGTTAAATTTCAGGTAAGAAAATATTGAAGTACCTCATAATTAGGTAGCCCAGTTTCTTCAAATTTTCAGAAAAATATTAACAGAATTCAACCTAGAAACTTAAAATTACATTAAAACATCTCAAATTTTACCTAGGATGAAAAGATTTTAGAAAACAATAGCAGGTCATAAATGGTGCAACAAAGTGAAAAGTGTTTACCATCTAACACCAGAAAGATCAAGACTGTGATTAAACCCCACTGATTACAGACTACAGGTGACTTAACAGAAAGTCTAAAAGCTAGGAAATCCTAGGGCTCCTCTGCAAATAATCTGTAAGCCATTGTGTTTTATTTCAAAGTTTAGAACAAAATGAAGTGGGGAAAAATTCCTTCTGCAAAATGACAGTCCTAAAGTGAAACACTTTTCTGCATAGTATAGAAGCTTTACAAATGACATGGTATCCAAGGCAACACAGATAATGACTAAGTGGTAAAATTTGAAATGAAGCACCACAGAAAAATGCAGAATCTTAAACTAATAGAGTCTACATTAGGAAGCAGATATTTAACTAGCTCTACAGTTTCTAACAATACATCCAAAATGTCCATAATATATAATAAAATATTCTTCTATTTCTAAATATTTTAAATAACAATCCATTACATTTCTACTACAAATTTAACCAATAAAAATTGTATGAGCCTAGTTGTATGCATTAATACATGTGGACAGTACATTATTAGAAAAAAAAGATGTCTTTAAATTTTTGTATGGGACTGTTATTACTAGAAAAATAATTATACAAGTCAAAATTTTTTATGATGCAATATAGTTGAAATTCACAGGTAACAGATATTATAATTATTGTGGTACTATTATAATTATACTAAATATTATCTCCATGTTTTCACTACACTTGGGTTGTATATTACTAAACATATTTCTCATATTTATATAAGAAAATATTCTTCTATTTCTAAATATTTTAACTAACAATCCATTACATTTCTACTACAAATTTAACCAATAAAAATTGTATGAGCCTAGTTGTATGTATTAATACATGTGGACGGCACATTATTAGAAAAAAAAGATGTCTTTAAATTTTTGTATGGGACTGCTATTACTAGAAAAATAATTATACAAATCAAAATTTTTTATGATGCAATATAGTTGAAATTCACAGTTAACATATTATAATTATTCTGGTACTATTATCATTATACTAAATATTATCTCCATGTTTTCACTACACTTGGGTTGTATATTACTAAACATATTTCTCATATGTTGATAAGGTTTTGCTATATGTTTACTTCTGTTACTACTTTGTGAACAATTTGAAGACATAGATTATATCTTTTTCATCTTTGCATCTATCATATTAGTGTCTGGTCCATGGAAGTTCTGAAGAAATGGTAAGTAAATATATATTCACTTCAAAGTCTGGTTTTCTTTTATGGTAAAAAATGATATTTTGATGCCCTTTGAAATGATTTTCAAATTCTTAAGACGAATGTCAATTTTAACATGACCATCAGTGAGCATGTTAATTGTTCTGCACTTTAGGGATTCACAGAGCTGTATGACCTTTCCATTCAGAATACTGATGCATTCTTTTATGCCAGGCCTGATCTTATAGTCAGGAGAATTACTCAGCTGCCGGCATGAATCACCTCCTCTTAACTGCTCTCCAGGCTCTAATCAAAAATACTGGGATCATTTGATAAAAATTTATTTTTCAGGATCTATTCTCTGTCTATCACTGAGAAAATACATAAAGTAAACAGAAACTTCAACCTCCTTTGCTAGCCAGTTGGGAAGAATATATTCACAAATAATTATTACACAAAGAGTTATTCTATACTGTCTCACACCAGTCAGAATTGTCATCATTAAAAAGTCTACAAATAGCAAATGCTGGAGAGGGTGTGGAGAAGAAGGAACCCTCTTGTTGGGGATAATATAAGTTTGGGTAGACACTATGGAAGACAGTATGGAGTTTCCTTAAAAAGATAAAAATAGAGTTGCCACATGATCCAGTAATCCCATTCCTTGTATATATCCGAACCAAACTATAATTTAAAAAGATAAATGCACCCCCATGTTCATAGCAGTACTACTCACAATAGCCATGACATGGAAACAGCATAAATGTTTACCAATAGATAAATGGATAAAGAAGATATCTATCTGTCTATATATATATACATACTACATATATATATATATGCTTCCCAGGTGGTGCTAGTGATTAAGAACCTGCCTGCCAGTGCAAGAGACACAAGAGGTGGGATTTGATCCCTGGAACCCTGGCTTGGGAAGATCCCCTGGAGGAGGGCATGACAATCCACTTCAGTATTCTTGCCTGGAGAATCCCATGGATAGAGGAGACTGGTGAGCTATCATCCATAGAGTCATATTGGAACATTACTCAGTCACTAAAAAGGATGAAGTAATGCCATTTCATTGGTCCAGCTAGATGGATGGACCTAGAGATTATATAGTACACAAAGTAAGCCAGAAAGACAAATGCCATATGATATCACTTACATGTAAGATCTAAAATATGACTTAATGAACTTACCTACAAAACAGAAACAGACACACAGTACCAGAGAACAGACTTGTAGTTGTCAAGAATAAGGGGTGGTAGGGGAGGGATGGACTGGGAGTTTTGGGTTAGCAGATGCAAACTGTTCTATATAGCATGGATATATAACAAGGTCCTATTTTATATGGCCTACCAGGCTCTTCTGTCCATGGAATTCTCCAGGCAAGAATACTGGAGTGGGTAGCCATTCACTTCTCTAGGGATCTTCCTGACCCAGGGATCAAACCCAGGTCTCCCACATTGCAGGTGGGTTCTTTACCATGGGAAGCCCATTGTATAGCACAAGGAACTTTGTTCAGTATCCTGTGATAAACCACAATGGAAAAAACTCTCTGAAGAATGTAAACTGGAATCATTGAATCATTTTTGTGTACAGCAGAAATTAACATTGTGTATCAACTATACTTCAATGTAAAAAGAGCATTCCTATACATCAAAAGTGTTGGATCTATACACAGAAATCATTTTTCTTGGCTTAACTGACTGTTTTTCCCTGGAATTGATAATCTGCAGTTTACAATTGTTTACTTTGGAAACTTACTCCAACAATAATGCTGCTGTTCAGATACCACTGAAATTCATCCTTTGGTATTATCACAAAGGAAGTTTTTGAGCTATACACAGGAGTTAGTCTCACTACTCTTTAATACTGGAGACACAAATTTTAGTTGCCTGTGCATCCACAACGCATGCAATCTCTTCTATAGAAATTTTGTATCACTAGTCAAAATTAAATCAATGTTAAGTGAATATTAACGTTGATAATACTTAATGATTGTCTCTATTAAAATAGCTTGAGCCCCCACCCTACATTAAGGGAAACCCAACCACTCAATGTTCTTTTATTTCTTCTACTCATTTCTTACTCTCTGCTTCTGACAAATTATAATTCTCGGTCTTCTCTCATGTCAATGGCTAGTCCCTTCTGTTTAGCCACCTGGACCCAGAATAGTTCACTTTCTTACTTTTCTCTGATGAAAAATCAACAAACAACCTTATAGGCACTGGTGTGTCATAGGTTTTATTGAAGTTTAGAGAATAAAGCAAAAAGGTTATATCACAGCAAACAAAACTAAGAAATACCTATTAGACGTCTATTTTTTTAAGTCTCTCTTCTATTTCAACCATTAGGAAAATTTCAGTCAATTAATTTTTAATAAGTATTATAATCTCAATGCAAAAATTACAAACATGTATAGAGGAAAAGCAATTTCTCCCAACCATGTCTTCTGGTTCCTTTCCCCAGTGGCAATCACTATTGCTGATTTCTTATGTTAACTTTGAGAGATATTCCTTCATTTGGACAATTTTCACTGATAGTCCCTCTCTTTGATAGCCAGTGGAGGGCTCCTTCTTTATCTCCAGAAAATGTTTAAAAAGATAAATGAATAACTTTGTTTCCTGTAAACAAGTGAAGTGAAGTCGCTCAGTCATGTCCGACTCTTTGCGACCCCATGGACTGTAGCCCACCAGGTTCCTCAGTCCATGGGATTTTCCAGGCATGAATACTGGAATGGGTTGCCATTTCCTGTAAATAGTCCTGTTTAAATTACAGAGGTGGGAAATAAACTTCTCAGGGTAAACCAGTATTCTGACCAAAATCATGTTCAACTCAGCAGTATTTTTCTTTAATCTTGTTCATTATTATAAAATACATATAACACAAAATTTACTATTTTAAAGTGTAAGTTCAATGGCATTAAGTATATGATCAGTGTCATGCAACCACCACCACTATCTAGTTTTAGAGCTTTTTGAAGCAATTACCTATGAAGCAATCACTCTCTATTCCTCTCCCTATCAGCCCTTGGCAACCACAAACCTGCTTTCTGTCTCTATGGATTTGTATCTTGTGGACATTTCATATAAATAGAATCTTATAGTATTTGGCATTTTGTGTCTGCCTTCTTTCA